TGTTACGGAGTGTGATTATCAGTCTTAGTTTGGGAGCAGTATTGTCTCAAAGTTGGCCGAAACGCTCAGAAATGTCTTTGAAAAATCGTTGTGCCTGTTTTGGTCAACTTTGAGACAATACTGCTCCTAAACTAAGACTGATAATCGCATTCCGTAACAGAGGCATGCTAAAGGAAGGTCCAAAGACCAATTGCCTGTTGAGGGAGCAAAATGCCCGCCTTGGATCAGACGCAGTGGCTGCTTAAAATCGACCCAAAACATGATTTTTTAAAGACATTTCTGAGCGTTTTGGCCAACTTTGAGACAATACTGCTCCCAAACTAAGACTGATAATCGCACTCCGTAACAAAGGCATGCTAAAGGAAGGTCCAAAGACCAATTGCCCGTTGAGGGAGCAAAATGCCCGCCTTGGATCAGACGCAGTGGCTGCTTGAAATCGACCCAAAACATGATTTTTTAAAGACATTTCTGAGCGTTTTGGCCAACTTTGAGACAATACTGCTCCCAAACTAAGACTGATAATCGCATTCCGTAACAAAGGCATGCTAAAGGAAGGTCCAAGGAACAATTGCCCGTTGAGGGAGCAAAATGCCCGCCTTGGATCAGACGCAGTGGCTGCTTAAAATCGACCCAAAACATGATTTTTTAAAGACATTTCTGAGCGTTTTGGCCAACTTTGAGACAATACTGCTCCCAAACTAAGACTGATAATCGCACTCCGTAACAGAGGCATGCTAAAGGAAGGTCCAAAGACCAATTGCCCGTTGAGGGAGCAAAATGCCCGCCTCGGATCAGACGCAGTGGCATGCTAAAGGAGGGGTCCCGTGGGGTCGCGAAACTTTTCCTGGGGGTCGCGGAAATTTTTGGCTACAAATTTGGGGTCGCGAGCCGAGAAAGGTTGAGAACCGCTGCACTAGGAAGCGTCCCTGCCGTGGACGGTTTCCGAGTACTCGGGCTATTTCCCTACCCGGGACGCAGCCACATGGTCGTGTTGGAGGTCAGTATGAAGCTGGGGTCATTAACCGATAAATCGAAAATTATTGGGTCAAGTTTACCCTTTGAATCTTAGTACGGTTATAATGCTTATACGGTTATAAAATCTTGTAACGGATATAGCAGCGGCTTTCATCATCATCATCATCAACGCTGCTTTGCTGACGCAAAAAAACATGCAGTTCACAAACCAATTCGATCGTTATGTTACAGTTACAGTCCGGTCCCCGGTCAAAACGCGTTTTAACTAGTTAAAACGCGGATTAACTGGCCTGGCCGGGTAAAACTGATATTAAAAATAATATTTGATGAAAAATTTTGTTTTTACCTTTGTAGAACGGGTAATGGCTAGGCAAAACGGGAATAAACTGGTCAAAACGGGAATTTACTGGTCTAAAATAAACTGGGTAAAAGGTGTGGGCAGGTAAACTAACTTTTAAAAGGCGGCATTTGCATTTGATCGAAGCTTTGCACCTTTTTTGGCAGTTGCACCGGACAAAGCCCTGGCAACCTGTCATGCTCTGTGCAGTGGCCATGGACCGCAGTGCTATGCGTTTGTGTCGTTGGACGTCGGCCACGGAGAAGAAACTCTCTTTAGTCACGGTAAACATGCTTCGGGACAGCAAGTTGTTAAGCTGTCCCTGCTTGTTTCCAAGACGATAGAGGCTGTCCTCCGTGACCTCCAGTACCACGCAGACGATATTTCTAGGGTCACCCCGCCCTCTGTCCACGTCCGGCACAGGCACGATCAGTGTCACCGACTGATGCTAAGGGGTATCTCTCCCGTTCGCAGCATCTTTTCGGCCTGTTACACCACCCTTCCCGCGACAATGGTACTGTGACACTCTACTGCCCGACCCGGAAAAGAAATGGTCGGTTTATTCCCGTTTTACCCAGTTAACAGCCGAATAATTTAAAAAAAAAGTTCCGCCAAGGCAAGCTTAGCAAAGCGGTCTTGCCGTGGACCGGCCGGGGAGGCCGGGCAGAGAGGGGGCAAGGAGGGAGGGGGTGGCTGTGAGGAGTGGGGACTGGCGAGGCGGCGCAGGTGACGACGACAGACGAACCACGACCATGCAGTCCCCTCCGAGCGCGCTGAATGGATGGATGGGTGGATGGATGGGATGGGATGAGTGGGATTGTATGCAGAGCTAGAAGCGGTAGCAAGACCGCTTAAAAAAATAACTTCTATATCAGTTTTACCCGGCCCGGCCAGTTAATCCGCGTTTTAACTGGTTAAAACGCGTTTTGACCGGGGACCGGACATTTACTGTAACAGTTATGCATAATTTTGACAAATGACCGGAACAATTAACATTTTCTTGAAACCTTCAATCTACGAACAAACATATATTCCGTGTCACATTCACTGCAAATCCGGTGGTAAGTTTACTTGCCACAAATTTGGCAAGCCGTTTTGAATGCCAAACTTTGGCAAGCTTTAATCGGAAATCTTCATAAGCTTGCCAAATTTTGGCAAGCTTGGAGGTGTTTCCGGGCCAAGCTTGCCAAATTTTGGCATTCAAAACGGCTTGCCAAATTTGTGGCAAGTAAACTTACCACCGGATTTTCAGTGTTTAGCGTGCTGTATGATTATTGATCAATTATCGTAAACACTTAATGTTTATGGACTTTTTGTCCATAACTATGGCCGTATTTGTGCATACTGAAGTTATGTACAAATTTGTACATAAATTAGGTACAATGTTTTACATACTACTTAAGCACAATATGGAAATATTGTTCCTAATTTATGAACAAATTTGTACATAAGTTCTGTATGCACAAAAACGGTTATAGCTATGGACAACAAAGTACATAAAACATTTGAAGTGTACACACTCACATGTCTCTCAGTAACTCCCAAATCGCAAATATGGGTGTTTGATACGAACTGACCCGTTCTACAAACTGCGCCACTCTCCTTTACGTTTAAACAACAAATTTTCGAATTTTCTTAAGTTTCAAAAGTTCTAATTTTCACAATTCAGATTTCGCATCGATTTTTTTTTAAACTAAGAAGTCCTTTAGAAATCAACGTAACAATCAATTACGAACGATTTATGTAGCTCTATGAATCCCGAGGGGTCGGCAACTCATATATTACTTCGTACGCGGTGGCTGTATTACCCTATATTACCTGTATATTACCATATATAACTTGCATATTACCACAATTTCTCCTCTATAATACCCCTATATTACTATATATTACTTTGTATTACTTTATATTACACATATATTACCTATATTACTGGTAATATACGTATACTCCCTCGTACACGGCCAAGGGAAGTTGCCGACCCCTCGATGAATCCTTCTCATCGGCGTTTCCAACTTAAAACTTGGTGGCATGTGATCTTTTGCCATGACTAACCAACCTTTGATTTTGCGGTCGACAGTCCATGATGGCAGCGCTTGCATCTCGAGGGCACGAAGTAGTTGTGCTAAGTGCGTTTCCGCTCAAAAATCCAGTGCCCAACTACACGAATGTTGATATATCCCACATTTATCCCTCCCTCGTGAATAACCTTACATGGGAGGACGTAAGGATGCACCGGTAAGGACAACATCAGAACGAAAAATACGCTGAAATGACAGTTTACTATACATATTGCCGTGATATTGCCCTTCGTTGACGCCGAATCATAAATATAATGAGAGAATTATTCACAAAAAAACTTCGATTTGACAGAAACCACTCAACAAGGACATAACTTAGGAGTTCTAAAACAATCAATAGCAGCACAAAGACAAAATATTTTTAAAAAAATTGATTTGACAATAAATCACGCAACAAGGACATAACTTAAGCGTTCATAAACAAACAATAGCAACACAAAAACCAAGTATTTAAAATAAGCGAGTCCGTAGCAACAACATACAAAAAGGAAATCTCTTGGTTGGTATCGAACTACTGTTTTATAAATGAGAACACGAAATCACTACAGAGGGATTAAATCAATGACACTTTTCAAGAAACGCGAAATGAGTACAGTCCTGTCGAAGAAAGGACAACAATCTTCCAATGACAGGCTGTACATGTAGTGCTGAGGTTCCGGTCTGGTGGAAACTTGAGCTTAGCTGCGAAGACCAAGAAACTTCACACTAAATCGACACGAACTAATGTAATTACCAACTAAAAATATTTTGATGCGTTACCAAATGTAGCGAGAAAATCAGAGCCACTTCGCAACGACACTGGACCGTTATAAATGTATGTAGTATTTAAGATTAGGTAACTAAATCTATCCAGAGGCACTTCAAAAATTCCGTAAACATATAGAAGGTGCATTGTCCTGACATCTAAAATATGCTGGAGGATAGAAGTTACACCAACAACAATTAAACAAGAAAGTTTTTCCTTAGCTGAGTTCCCTGTGAGTGGGACACTTCGGCAAACGTCCACCCCTCCACCCACACAAATTTGATTCGAACTAAGCGGACTTCTTCTCAGCGTGGGTCCCGCTGTGCTTGGCCAGATGGGACTTCTGGGAGAACCCCTTCCCGCACACTGGGCACTGGAAAGGCTTCTCCCCAGTGTGGATCCTGGAATGCTTTTCCAGGTCGGACGCGAAGCGGAACACCTTGCCGCATTGGCAAGCGAGTGGTTGCCGCTTGCCGCGCGCTGCGAGGTGCTTCTCCAGGCCCGCCTCGGCATCCAAGGCCGCTCCACGCTCGGCACACTGCGAGGCGGCAGCGCGGTCCGCCCCTCCGTCCCCAGCCGTGCCGCCGGCCTGGCCGACTCCAGAGGCCAGCAGGACGGCGGCGTCGATGTGCAGCCACGGTCTGTCCGCGGCAGCGCCGGTGGGAGCTCCTGCAACCGGGGCAACGCGTCAAGCGGGCGGCGGTGGAAACGACAGTCTGGCATTGCAAACTCTCAGGGAAACCATTTTCTCCGAATTGGGCCCAGGCGAGGTCAAGAAAAAGAGAAAAGACAAAATGTTTTTCGAACATTTTCGAAAAAAAATATATCATGGAATTGAAGAAGGGGGACTCCCTTACCGATGAAGGTGTATAATCGGTGAAGGACTATAAGTCACACGCTTCAAACCTACTTTGCCTTTTGGTTTAAAATAGTATGCATTTTCAAAAAAGTAACCCACAGTTGGTATTTAACCTTACCGAAACACGCGTAGTACGGTAAAATCATCCAAACCATATGACATCTGTGCCAATGACGTACGGGAAAGTTCCAACGTACTTCACCATTCACAAATCATCGCAATAAGAACAAGATCGTACGGAAGATGATGAGCGTGTGAAGCTAGACACTCACCGTGCGCGTCGTCGTCGTCCTGTCCTGGTCCCGGAGAGCTCCATCCACGCCACTGTGTTCCAGGTAGAGCGCTGCCGCACTGCTCTGCCTCCGTTCCGACGCGCCAGGCACCTGCAAGCAGCACACCGTCAGCGACTGCAGCCAGCGGGCCTTGCCAAACCAACACCAACCACCACACTAGAAACGCGAGCCAAACAAAGGAACTACGTATGTTACATGCAAACTGGAAAGTACATGCTGAGGACACAGAGACACTATACATAATTGATAGAAAGCATATTTGACGTCGCAAACTACCGTTTCATTGCACAATGTTTTAATCTCAGAATCATAGACGCAAATCCTTCACAAAACAATTATTCAAAAGACACGGCTTTGATAAATTTAAAAAAATGGACGTGAAAACAGCGATTGGGTTTCCCAATATAATGATCATCTGAGGAAATTGAGAATAACACAAGGAAGTATGTAGGAATAGTGTTTACATGCCTAGGTGCTTTCAATGTTAAGATCAAGATTACTTGTTTGAAATTAAGGAAGACGAGAACATTATGACAACTCGACGAGATTTTCGGCATGAAATACCCTTCTGAAACTCAAAATTATTACTGAGATCTGTTCCGCTCAGGAAAAAAATTAGATGGCTGACTAAACGATTTATCTTCGCCGTCCCGCTCGGTACAAAATTGTGGGCAACTACCGATAACAATGGACAACACAAAACTGTCAGTCATGATCATGATAACACCATAGCACAAATTTTACAATAGTAGGGTATTTTGATTGTAACTAGTGTCTTAAGAAACTGGAGAGAGAAAAGACGTTTTTGCACAAAGATTGCACTAAAAAGGCTTTGTCAGTATGAACGTTTAAAGAGTCAGAGTGAAGAGAACATCTTTCCACACGCTTAACACTGAAGAGGCTTCGCCCCAGTGTGCCTCCTCGCGTGGGCGACGAGATGGGAAGACTGCGCAAACTTCTTTCCACAAGCTGCACAATGGAATGGCTTCTCCCCAGTGTGGATCCTTGCATGCTCGACGAAATTGGATGAATTTGCAAACTTCTTTCCACAAACTTCACAATGGAAAGGCTTCTCCCCAGTGTGGATCCTTTCATGCCTGGTCAATGCGCCTGAGAACGCAAACTTCTTCCCACACATTTTGCACTGGAAAGGCTTCTCCCCAGTGTGGGTTCTTGAATGCTCTTCAAGACTGGACGCCCACTTGAAGTCCTTGCCGCAGTGTTGGCAGGCGTGCCGCTTGCCGCGCGCTGCGAGGTGCTTCTCCAGGCCCGCCTCGGCATCCAAGGCCGCTCCACGCTCCGCACACTGCGAGGCGACAGCGCGGTCCGCCCCTCCGTCCCCAGCCGTGCCGCTGGCCGCGGAGTCCTGCTTGGCGTGGCCGACTCCAGAGGCGAGCGAGAAGGTGGCGTCGATGTGCAGCCACGGCTCCTCAGCCTCCGACCCTGCAACCAAACGCCCAAGCCATCAACAATGCCTCACGGTGCCGAAATCGCCGGTTGAGGCGGCCAAAATTCTTGACGGGTTTTGAACTCCAGCTCCAGTCCTAAATAGGACTCAAGAAAACGGGACTCCACTATTGGATTCTTCGTTTGGAGGGCAATCAATCGGTGGGGTCTCACGATCAGTTCGAGTCCTATTAAGCGACTCTGGAGCTCAAAACGAGTCTGGAATTTTGCGGCCTGGGAGCACTGCAAGTACGCACCGTCCTTGCCGCCTGGCCCCGAGGTCGCGGCGCTGCGTCCACTGCCGCACTCCTCTGCCTCCGTCTTGACGCGCCAGGCACCTGCAAGCAGCACACCGTCAGAGTAGTGTCAACTATAATACGATCCTTGCTATGTGAACAACTTAGTTGAGATTTAGGGCAAAAAGCCTATTTGAATTAGTTCATTAAAAATCCTGAAAACAGTAATTATAGAGAAGTGTTTCACCGGGTCTAGGTTGTAGCTGAGTTGATTTCAGGTTTGGGCAAATTCAACAGTGAGGCTAGGACAGCTTTGAGTGGGGTTTATTACAAGATGGGAACAACATTCAATTTCAGTATAGAACCAGCGCCAGATTGTGGCAAGAACGAGCACCATGGCAATGCGGCTAACACGACACCCTGAGGTACAAGGCAAGCGTCATGAAAGTTTTGACCACGGCGACCGCAAGCCATGGATGACTGTAAAGAAGACAGCCAGTGGATCGTTCGTCGCGATAGCTGCGATTACCGAAAGATACATGCAGGTTTCTTACAGAACGTAACGTACTCGCAAGTGGGAATTCAGACACTCTGAACGACGAAGTCCATGCCAAGCGGCAAAATGTTGCAGGAAGCTCCGCACTGGTTGACCATGCCTCAGGTCCACTCACCGTCCGAGTCGTCCTGCCCTGGGCCCGCGGCGCTGAAGCCACACTGTGGTCCTCCTGCAGGAGGGTTGTCCGAGCGGCTGTCGCACTCCTCCGCCTCCGTCTTGACGCGCCAGGCACCTGAAAGCAGCACTCCGTCAGCGCACAGTCGTTCAGACTTCGATGTTCACTGTCCATCGTTCCATATACACTACTGTCACTCAATAACTATATACGTTTTTGTGTAAAGAGCTTTGCACAAAACTGAGCATGAGCATCGATATGCACAAATTTTGAGGGCGATAACGCATACTTTCGTGCTTCGTTACGCACAAATTCCTACATTTCAAAACGCATGGTCAATTTTGTGAAAACCTGATGCACAAAAAAGTACAAAGTAACTTAGTGTGCTAACTACGATAAGTTTTAAAGTACTTGTTTTAAAGAAACACAGTAAGATTAACCCCATGCACCGAAAAAATAAATAAATACTGCAAGAAGGTTCCTTTCTCACGTGGTGTTTAGGGCAATATTGTAGAAATTTTATTGCTGCACTTCAGGGTGGAATGACTCCTTGAAATCACAAAACCGGTTTCATAGCAAAAGAAGCCAAGTTTCCCAAAATGAATGGCGTTGCGACTGCACCAGGCCACGTAAACATACACCAAGACCAACCACCGCTATAGCATGCACAGACCGCTAAAGCATGGCAAGGCACTGGAACTGGGTGAAGGATAGAAACGACAAACAACGTAGAACAGAGCAGGGCAGTTTGAACACTAGTGCATAATGTGATGTATGGACCGATCAGAACGAAAAAATACGCTGAAATGACAGTTTACTATACATATTGCCGTGATATTGCCCTTCGTTGACGCCAAATCATAAATATAATGAGAGAAATATTGACAAAAAAACTTCGATTTGACAGAAACCACTCAACAAGGACATAACTTAGGAGTTCTAAAACAATCAGTACCAGCACAAAGACAAAATATTTTTAAAAAAAATTGATTTGACAATAAATTACGCCACAAGGACATGACTTGAGCGTTCATAAACAAACAATAGCAACACAAACACCAAGTATTTTAAATAAGCGAGTCCGTAGCAACAACATACAAAAAGGAAATCTCTTGGTTGGTATCGAACTACTGTTTTATAAATGAAAACACGAAATCACTACAAAGGGATTAAAACAATGACACTTTTCAAGAAACGCGAAATGAGTACAGTCCTGTCGAAGAAAGGACAAACATCTTCCAATGACAGGCTGTGCATGTACTGCTAAGGTTCCGGTCTGGTGGAAACTTGAGCTTAGCTGCGAAGACCAAGAAACTTCACACTAAATCGACACGAACTAGTGTAATTACCAATTAAAATTATTTTGATGCGTTACCAAATGCAGCGAGAAAATCAGAGCCAGTTCGCAACGACACTGGACCGTTATAAATGTATGTAGTATTTAAGATTAGGTAACTAAATCTATCCAGAGGCACTTCAAAAATTCCGTAAACATATAGAAGGTGCATTGTCCTGACATCTAAAATATGCTGGAGGATAGAAGTTACACCAACAACAATTAAACAAGAAAGTTTTTCCTTAGCTGAGTTCCCTGTGAGTGGGACACTTCGGCAAACGTCCACCCCTCCACCCACACAAATTTGATTCGAACTAAGCGGACTTCTTCTCAGCGTGGGTCCCGCTGTGCTTGGCCAGATGGGACTTCTGGGAGAACCCCTTCCCGCACACTGGGCACTGGAAAGGCTTCTCCCCAGTGTGGATAATCGTCTATGTAAGAATAAGACCGGGGCGGAAGACAATGAGCGTGTGAAGCTAGACACTCACCGTGCGCGTCGTCCTGTCCTGGTCCCGGAGAGCTCCATCCACGCCACTGTGTTCCAGGTAGAGCGCTGCCGCACTGCTCTGCCTCCGTTCCGACGCGCCAGGCACCTGCAACCAGCACACCGTCAGCGACTGCAGCCAGTGGGGCTTGCCAAACTACCACCAACCACCATACTAGAACGCATGCATTGATCGTTAAAACGCGAACCAAACAAAGAAACTATGTTTGTTGCATGCAAAACTAGAAAGTACATGCCGAGGACACGGAGACACATTACCTTACTGTTAGAAAGCATGTTTTACGTCGATAAGTACCGTTTTATTGCACAATGTTTTAATTTCAGAAAAATTGACGCAAAACCTTCACCAAACAATTACTCAAAAGACACTGCTTTAACAAATAAAAATATGGACATTAGCATACACGTAAAAACACCGATTGGGTTTCCCAATGTTTTGTTCATCTGACGAAATTTACTAAAACACAAGGAAGTACATAAGAATGGAGTATACATGCCTGGGTACTTTCAATATAAAGATCAAGTTTAACTTTTAAGAAACTAATGCAGACGAGAACATTTTGACCCCTCGACGAGATTGTCGGTACACTGTGGCAAAAAGGTACGGAAAATCCTGTTAATTTTTTTGCCAGGATTCTCCGTAGCCCTCTTATCAATATTCTCCGTAGGCTCTTACAGTATTCTCCGTAGGGCCGCACAGTATTCTCTGTAAAACCGCACAGTCTTCTCCGTAGGACCTCGAAGACTGTATAGTCCTACGGAGATCACTGTGCGGTCCTACGGAGAATACTGTGCGCTCCTACAGAAAATACTGTAAGAGCCTACGGAGAATATTGATAAGGGGCCTACGGAGAATTACCACAAGCTGTTTACAGAATTTTCCGTAGCTTTTTGCCACAGTGTATGCAATACCCTTCTGAAACACAAAATTATGACTGAGACCTGTTCCGCTCTGAAAAAAAATTAAATGGCAGGCTAAATGATTTTTCTTTGCCTTGCCGTTCGGTAGAAAATTGTGGGAAACTACCGGAGCCATTGGACAACACAAAATTGTCAGTTTTTGGCACTACGAGATTCCTAACGTAAATGTGAAGTTTATCTGATCGTGAAAACAGCATACCACAAATTTTACAATTGCAGGGCAATTTGAATTTAGCACTACTAATGTCTCAGCAAACTGGTGACAAAAAAAAAACGTTTCGGCACAAACATAGCACTCAAAAAGTTTGTCACCAGTGTGAACGTTAAGGGGGCTCATACATGTTAAAAGCACTTTGTGAAAACAAATTTTTGATGTAGACGGATCAAGATTTTACAATTTCTGTGTTAATACCGTTTTAGATAATTGAGTAAGCTGCATTTCGGCTCATAGTCCAAGGGACTTTGGACATTCTTTGGTAATTTAGTCGAAACATTCAAAATTTTGGTTCTCGCAAGATTTTGTTTGCATACATGCTCAGATCTGTGGGGGAAAAATCAGGGAGACTCATCCCTAGTAGTTCATAGAATTGACTACAATGGGCTTTACATCTGCAATAGTTTTCAAAAAAAAAAAAAAAAAAAAAACAATTTTTTAAACAATTTTTTTGAACAAATTTTTAAACAAAAAATTGTTTTTATTTTTTTTTTTGAAAACTATTGCAGATATAAAGCTTGTTGTAGTCAATTCTATGACACTACTAGGGATGAGTCTCCCTGATTTTTTTCCCCACAGATCTGAGCAAGTATGCAAACAAAATCTTACGCAAACCAAAATTTTAAACGTTTCGACTTAATCTCCAAAAAATGTCCGAAGTCACTTTACTTGAAACCAAAATGCACCTTACTCAATTATCTAAAAGGGTTTTAACACAGAAATTGTAATATCGTAATCCGTCTACATCAATATATTTTTTTTTACAAAGTGCTTTTAACGTGTATGGGGTCCCTTAAAGAGCCTGTGTGAGAGAACTTCTTACTATACACTTAAGACTGAGGAGGCTTCGCCCCAGCGTGCACTCTTGCATGCTTGACGAGATTGGATGAATTTGCAAACTTCTTTCCGCAAACTTCACACTGGTAAGGCTTCTCGCCAGTGTGCATCCTAGCGTGGACGGCGAGATGGGATGCTTGCGCAAACTTGTTTCCACACACTTTGCACTGGTAAGGCTTCTCCCCAGTATGGATCCTTGCATGGGTGATTAAATGGACTGATTGCGCAAACTTCTTTCCACAAACCTCACAATGGAAAGGCTTCTCCCCAGTGTGGGTTCTTAAATGCTGTTCAAGATTGAACGCCTTCTTGAACTCCCTTGCCGCAGTTTTGGCAGGCGTGCCGCTTGCCGCGCGCTGCGAGGTGCTTCCCCAGGCCCGCCTCGGCATCCAAGGCCGCTCCACGCTCCGCCCCTGCGAGGCGACAGCGCGGTCCGCCCCTCCGTCCCCAGCCGTGCCGCTGGCCGCGGAGTCCTGCTTGGCGTGGCCGACTCCAGAGGCGAGCGAGAAGGTGGCGCCCATGTGCAGCCACGGCTCCTCAGCCTCCAACCCTGCAACCAAACCCCCAAAATAAAACCCCCGGGGGCCCCCCGGCCGGGGTGGCCCGGGGGTTTTTTTTTAAAAAAAAAACCCCCCCCCCGGGCCCAAATTTTTTCCCCCTTCCCCCCCCTTTTTTTTTCCCCCTTTTTTTTTTTCCCCCGGGCCCCCCCCCCTTTTGGGGGCCCAAAAAAAAATTTCCCGCCAAAATTTTTTTTTTTTTTTTTTTGGGGCCCCTTTCCACCCCCCCGGGGGGGGGAAAAAAGGGGGGGCCCCAAAAAAGGGGGGGGTTTTTTCCCCCCCAACCGGGGGGAAAATTTTGGAATTTGGTAAACTTAAGGGGGGGGGGGGTGGGGCCCCCCCCCCAAAAAAAGGGGGGCCCCCCCCTTTTTTTGGGGAAGCCCCCCGGGGTTTTTTTAAACCCCCCGGGGGGCAAACCCCCCCCCCAAACCCCCCGGGCCCCCGGGGGGGGGCCCCCCGGGGGGGGGGCCCCCCTTTTCCCCCCCCTTTTTTTTTTGCCCCCCCAAAAAAAAACTCCGGGGGGGGAAAAAAAAAAAAAGGGGGGGGGAAGGGGGTTTTTTAAAAAAAAAAAAAAAAAAAAAAAAAAAAAAATTTTTTTTTCCCCCCGGGGGAAAGGGGAAAAAATTTTTTTAAAAAAACCCAAAATTTTAAAAATTTTTTTTAAAAAAAAAAAAAAAAAGGGGGGCCCCCGGGGGAAAGGGGGGGAAAAAAAAAAAAGGGGAAAACCCGGGGGGTTTTTGGGGCCCCCGGGGGGGGAAAAAGGGGGGGAAAAATTTCCCGGGGGGGTTTTGGGGGGGAAAAAGGGGGGCCCAAAAAAAAAAGGGGGGGGGGGTTTCCCCTTCCCCCCAAAAAAGGGGGGGGGGGTTTTTGGGGCCCAAAAGGGGGGGGGAACCCCCCCCTTTTTTTTGGGGGGGGGGGGGCCCCCCAAAAGGGGGGCCGGGGGGCCCCAAAACCCCCCGGGGAAGGGGGGTTTTTTTAAAAAAAAAACCGGGGGAAAAAAAAACCCCCTTTTGGGGGGTTTTTTAAAAAAAAAATTTTGGGGGGGCCCCCCCTCCCCCGGGGGAAAGGGGAACCCCCCTTTTTCCCCCCCTTTTTTAAAAAAACCAAAATTTTTCCAAAAAATTTTTTTTTCCAAAGGGCCAAAAACCCCAAAAAAAAAAAAGGGTTTTTCCCCAAAAAAATTTTTTTTTTAAAAAAGGGGGGGGGAAAAAAATTTTTTTAAAAAAAAACCCAAAAATTTTGGGGAACCCCCCGGGGCCCAAAGGTTTTTGGGGGGGAAAGGAAAAAAAAATTTCCCAAAAAAAGCCCAAAAAGGAAAAAGTTTTTTTTTAAAAAAAAAGGGGTTTTGGAAAAAAAAAGGGGAAAATTTTTCATTTTTTTGGGGGCCCAAAAAAGGCCCAATTTTCCCCAGAACGGAAAGTCCTAGATGAAATTACTTATCAGATTTGGATCTGGAACGGTGTTGGGACCCTAGAAAATCTACTAAGGGATCCATAGAACTTCAAAGGGCGTAACAGGCCCCCTCAAAGGTCGTCATGGGGACCTTCATGTACTAAGGAGTGAAGCCTAGTAGCGATATGGGTGCTGCCGATGGCATCCACGAAGCTGCAGGATGCAGCCGAGATGTGGCTGTGACCCGCAGCTTCATAGCTGCCAGGGGCAGCGTGGCCCGGGCGAAAGAAGGCTGCCTGGAGCATCCTGAAGGCTGCGGGGTGCAGCCTACTGCAGCGCCTCACAGCCTCCAGGCTTCCGGGGGCAGCGTGGCCCGGGCGAAGGAAAGCTGACTGGGGCATCCTGAAGGCTGCGGGGTGCAGCCTAGAGCAGCGCCTCGCAGCCTCGTGGCTGCTGGGGGCAGCGTGGTCCGCGAAGGAAGGCTGCCTGGAGCATCCCGTAGGCTGCGGGGTGCAGCCTAGAGCAGCGGGGGCAGGGCCGACTCGGCTCCAAAGGGACACTTCAATGGCTGGCAGGTGCAGCCAGAGAGGCTGCAGCGGCTGTGGATGGCTGGATTTTGGCTGACGTATGTCCGAATACAGCCAATGTCTGCAGCCATCCGAGATCCATCCGAGCGCTCTCAGGCACCCGGAGGAAGCCAGCCTGCAGCCAATCTGCAGCCTATAATTTTCTCTCGGGAACGCACTGTTATTAAAATTGCGATAACCACCGTATATATTTTGCAATAAAAACTTATCACATTTTTGCGATAATGACTACAAAGAAAATGCAATAAAAAGTTATCGCAGAAAAAAAGGTGATAAAAGTTACTACAAAACGCTCTTTTATCGCAAAAACTATGGGGTGGTTATTGCAAAAAAAGTGCAATAGAGCAAAATCAACTAAGACGGACCACTTCTTCCGGTGACCCTCTCCGATTTGCCTGATTTTTTATAGGCTTAATAACTAACTAAAGGAGAGTCTAAAGCCAAAATATTAGGTCCGGCAAAAATTTATTGCCCTAGATATGGCCAACTTTAGTTTAACTTTTGGAGAAAAAACACAAATTTGGGTATTTTGGACTAATTTTACACTTTTCATAGTAGAGGGCTAAAATTTGGTCATTTCATGTAAAATTGGCCAAGGAACAAGAATATGACCTCAGATTTGACCTCCGACGAATACCTGAAGAGTGAACCCCCCAAAACACCCTAAAAACACATAAAAAAGCAGTTTTTTCTTGGGGTTTCTGGGAAAAATATGTGGACAAAATTTTCTGATTATCTTATCTTGTAGAAAATGACGCGATGAATCGAATGAGACCACGCGCAGATTTTTATGTCTAACCGTTTAGGAGATATAGCGGTTCAAAGAATGAAAATTTTGCCATTTATTTTTTAATAAAATGCAGGTTTTGAGCATTGTTTACGTCTTTTGCCTCCTTGGTGCGTGTGGGTGTTCTTATCTTGTGGAAAAAGACGCGCTGAATCGAATGAGACCACGCACAGAGTTGTATCTCAAACCGTTTAGGAGATATAGCGGTTTAAAATATGGGCACTGTAGTCCGCCCGCCCAACATGCGTGTTTGGCGGCTCTGCCTTGTCGGGTGTTTGCAGGAGCTCTCCCGTGCCCATACTTTAAACCACTATATCTCCTAAACGGTTCGAGATACAACTCTATGCGTGGTCTCATTCGATTCAGCGCGTCTTTTTCCACAAGATTAGAACACCCACACGCACCAAGGAGGCAAAAGACGTAAACAATGCTCAAAACCTGCATTTTTTAAAAAATAAATTTGCAAAATTTTCATTCTTTGAACCGCTACATCTCCAAAACGGTTTGACATAAAAATCTGCGCGTGGTCTCATTCGATTCATCGCGTCATTTTCTACAAGATAAGATCATCAGAAAATTTTGTCCACATATTTTTCCCAGAAACCCCAAGAAAAAACTGCTTTTTTATGTGTTTTTAGGGTGTTTTGGGGGGTTCACTCTTCAGGTATTCGTCGGAGGTCAATTCTGAGGTCATATTCTTGTTCCTTGGCCAATTTTACATAAAATGACCAAATTTTAACCCTCTACTATGAAAAGTGTAAAATTAGTCCAAAATACCCAAATTCGTGTTTTTTCTCCAAAAGTTAAACTAAAGTTGGCCATATCTCGGGCAATAAATTTTTGCCGGACCTAATATTTTGGCTTTAGACTCTCCTTTAGTTAGTTATTAAGCCTACAAAAAATCAGGCAAATCGGAGAGGGTTACCGGAAGAAGTGGTCCGTCTTAGTTGATTTTGCTCATAACAAAATTATCGCACTCCAGGATGCGATAAATCGTGGGAATCGCAAACTCGGTTTTATCGCAAAAATTTGTAGTAAAAGTATCGCAAAATGAATGACAGTGTTGGCGGAACTTCAGACGTTTAAAAGTTACGAAGATTTTGTTCTTATTTGGATTTTACCGTTAGTCCATGAGAGGTACATTGACAAGAGTTATCGTTATCCATTGAGCGGGTAGATACCCGTGAAAACCGTTACAGAGATGTGACTGCCCTCTTTAACACTCCTGAAGTGCAATATTTCGATTCGCTCCGATAAAAATTTAGACCGTGAAAGGGGTCAAGTTGAGTTATGTTTATTTTTCACGTGGATTTTCTCCGACGCTGTTAGGAATTAGGTCAAACAATTTGGTGTAATGATGCAAACCATTCTGAGGCACAATAATAAGATAAAAACTCAATTTGGAGATAAGTTGAATTATTCCCTTCTTCCGCTCCCTGGATCATTTGACTACGGACTCATGTTTTCTTAGTTCTCCCAAACAAGGCGGAATTTGGAGACAATTCAAGTGGAGCTGAGGTCTGCACAGTCTGTATTTCCGTGGTACATTTCAGCAGTTACCTCTTTTTTCCAACTAGTGACGAGGAGTTAAGTTGAGTTGATTCTTATTACAAAGGATTCATAAAGGCACAAGTTGAGTTAACTCCTTTCGCTATTTTGTGCAAAGGAGTTATGTACCTCCTTTGCACAAAATGGCGAAAGGGGATAACTCAACTTGAGTCTATATGAATCGTTTGTAAAAAGAAACAACTCAACTTAACACTAGTTGGAAAAAGAGGCAACTCCAAAAATGTACCGCAGAAATACAGACTCTATCCCCAAGCTAGTCTCGCTAATGTCTCACCTTTTTTGGGTCATACATTTAAGTACGTTGTATCACCGAAAATCGGTCAGATGTCTCACCCTTCGAATTTCAGTGACAGGTCGATTTCTTGCCACAATTCGCGGTTCAGACAACATCACTGAGAATGAAAGAGTCAAACTTTGGGTTAGGAATTCTCTATTGCCCAAATTCGGGTGAGGAAAGTTTCCTCACCCAAATTTGGGTCATGATACTATGGAGCTAATTAGGAAGCTGATACACTCTTCCTCACCCAAAATTGGGCGAGGAAGCCTTCCTCGCCCAAATTTGGGTGAGAAAGTAAACCTCGCCCAAAATTGGGTATTGATCATGACTTTTTCATTCTCAGTGAGGCGGTTAAACCCAAGCCACTCACCGTCCACGTCGTCGTGTCCTGGGCCCGCGGAGCAGCCTCCACGCCGCGGTGCTCCTTCTGGAGGGCTGCCGCACTCCTCGGCCTCCGTCTTGACGCGCCAGGCACCTGCAAGCAGCACACAGTAAGCGACTGCAGTCAGCGGGACTTGCCGCACCAACACTAACCAACCCCACGAAAATAAGCGCAGCTAAAGTACTAAAACGCGTACAAAACGGGCCAGTAAAAAAAAAGTTTCACAGATAATACAAGCACTGAGTGTTAGAAAGCATGTCCCACGAGCACATAAATTCAACTGCCGCAAACTACCAGTTACATACGATGTTTCATGTTCCTAATCATAAACCTGCACTGAACGAGAGCTTGGAGACAGCGTCGGCGGACAAAGCATGAAGAAGAATGAACATTATCACACACGGTAAAGCACCGATGAGGTTTTCTAATGGTTTCTTTCAGCTAAGGAAATTGGATCTAAACCAAGGAAGTCTCTAGGAAAAGGGATTAAATGCCTAGGTACTTTCAAGATTTAGGTCAAACTTACTTATCCGAACCGAAACCTAAAGGAAACATCATGGCACCTCGACGAGGTTTTCGTCATTCTCAAACACAACATTATATTGTTGAACACGACTGTGAATTTTCCGCACTGACAATTAATTGTTCTCGTCTCATGGCGAACCTCCTGGTTATACTTTGATAAGTGGCTTGGTAGAATATTCCGGTAGACCTGAGGTACGAATTGGCCGCACAAAACTATCAAAAAAATTGACGTGACTTTAAGTAAATGAGGATATTGAGATTATTTAATGGGAAGAAATACCTTTTGACAGTTTACTAATAAAATCTATTCGTCGATGCCTCGTAACATCTAAACCGAATGCCCCAACAAGATTCCGCTACTTCTCAGGCAAGCCTCTATCCGTTCCTCGATCGATAGCTTCGCTGATACAGTGTACGCTACGCTAGTAGCTCGCCTGACCACGTCTAGTCGTAACAGGCTGAGCGATGCTGCGCCAGATCTAAGAATCCACGCCAAGGGAAGTTCGCAGGTCACCACCGCATGCGACTTGTTACGGTCCCCGGTACATGGTACACCTAAACTCTGAACCTGACAACAGAAGAACAGAAACAAGTGCACAGCAGCTGACAGGGTACTTCACGGAGGATCCAGACCGGAAGTGTAGCAACAGAGCTCTCCCATGAATCTTCAACAGGAAAAAGAAAAAAATTAACCTTAGGCGCACGCACAGACGTTCCCCAACACCCGATGCGCGGGTGCAAGAATCTACTATGAAAGCACATTTCTAAAGGATATACAGGTATTAGGATACTCCGATGAATCTTGGAACGCACGAAGAGCGGAAGTAGGCCCGAATCAGTTTCAGCGCATGTGCAGACGTTCCCTCTACACCCGGTGCGTATGCGCGGCGGTGGCGCGGTGGAAGTTCTCCCACCACCAGGTGCGCACGCGCAGAAGCATTTTCTTGGGCTAACTTTAGTTCTTCTTCCATTAAAGATTTATTGGAGTACCCTGAAAGGGTAAAAATGGTGGGTTTGCCTGAGAAAATTCACGTAACGTTACGCTGAGTCAGGGAGTAGTGGGTCCGTCCCAGCGTAACACCACGATGCAGCGGGGGGGGGGGTCAGAATCGGAAGGGTCAATCATGACAGCACATTTCTACAGGACATACAGCTTAAAGGGTATATAACTTGCGCCTTATAACTTGCGGTATAGTGACGCTTTCATTCCAAATGCAGCACGGTGTCTAAAAACTCGTTCGTTTGCATTTGAACGGCGTCATGGTAACACGCTGGCCCCTAAAGCGCGCCTCATCGATTTCAACATCAGCCCCTCGGGACTGAGGGCTGATGCCAAACACTGCGCTTCTCCCTTTGTCTCTCACGCTATCAGCGATGCGTGCGAGAGGGACAGAGCGGTGATGCACTGTTCGGAACCAACCACCGCCATTACAACACGCGTGACACAGACAGTCACTGCTCTACTGTCACCTGTGAAACAGTGAGCCCACGGAAGCCAGACAGGGAACTTTCAACCGAAGCGCAACTAAGCGATACTTAACAGTGTCGCCCTAAAACGCATTCTCGAAGTATCATGTTTCGATTTGGAGTGACGGAGCGTTGAATATGTTTCAATGGGCGAAAACCTTCACGGTGCAACAAGCGACTGTCGTGTTGTGGCAATGGTTGGCGTATGTAGCCATGCTGCTTGGTATACTCCCGGTCCGAGGGTGGCCTCTCAACCCCAGGTGTGTGTACGCCAGACCGTGTCTTGTGTTCAGGGTTGCTTATTCCCTTCATCATTATTATCATAAAGCAAACGAGTCGTAGTCGGCCAGAAGACCGCTGGAGGCTGCTAAAACTTCACGCGATTTGATCTTGAGTGGGACTCTAACCGAACGTTTGACCCCTCCAACACTGAGAATGAAAAAGTCATCACTGCAAATTGGGTGGTAAGTTTGCTTGCCACAAATTTGGCAAGCAGTTTTGAATACCAAAAATTGGCAAGCTTGGCCCGGGAATCCCCCCCAGCTTGCCAAAATTTGGAGAGCTTACGGAGATTTCCGACCAAAGCTTGCCAAATTTTGGCATCCAAAACGGCTTGCCAAATTTGCGGCAAGTAATCTTACCACTTGCTTTGCAGTGATGATCAATACCCAATTTTGGGCGAGGTTTACTTTCTCACCCAAATTTGGGCGAGGAATGTTTCCTCGCCCAATTTTGGGCGAGGAAGGGTGTATCAGCTCCATAGTATTATGACCCAAATTTGGGTAATAAAGAATTCCTCACCCAAAATTTTAGTCATGATCATGACTCTTTCATTCTCAGTGAATGTATTGCTGCACACTGCAGGAAATGACCACAACAAAAGTACACAAATTTCTGGCAAATTTTTTTATCAGGTTTTTATTGTACTTTCAAAGTACAACAATTGTTGTACATTGTACAATGGAACCGGCATGACGATTGCTGGGCAGTCCAGGCCTCGTTGTGGTTTGTACAATTCTCGTTGTACTTTCTACAATCACTGTTGTACTTTTATTGCACAGTTCTTGTTGTACATTTGTTGTACTATTAGCACTTTTTCTTGCGGTGCAGCTCTATACGCGCATAGGGCTTTGGCCGCCTCCACCTGTCTTCAGGCCTACAGTGCATGCATGTGACTCCATGCCTCCGCAGGCCGTTGGCGCTGCCAGTCGCGCTATCCTTGTCTGTCGGCTTCTACGCCTTCCTCGTCATCTCCCTCTTGCTGCGAGTCGGCCTGGACTTCAACACGACCCGCAAGCACTCCGACACCAACAAGGTCGTAACCCTCATCTGGCTGGCTTGCACTGGTAAGTATGAGCCCCAGAAACGCGACGGGGCAGCCAGAAACTTAAAAAAAATTCCCTGAAATACCGGGAACTTAATGCAACTGAGTACACTTGTTGAGGACTGAAGTGTGCCCAGTGCCACCCAGTGTACACACGGAACATGTCTACTGAGTACACTGTCATTCAAGCTGCCGCCTAAATTAAGGGGTGGCTAAAGCGAAATAATGCAATGACTGATTTGCACTCCAAGTTACGATATCAATAGATTTGGAGAGGCGAAGCATTTCATTCTAGACTTGACAATGCCCTTGCTTTCTCCGTATTGAGAAGCGGTGCTTATCCCCCTTTTTGTATGGGACATAATTTGCGATATGTGAGATGTGAGACATTTCATTTAAATCCAAATGTCTAACGCCTGCAAGTGCACTGCAGGAAATAACCACAACAAAAGTACACAAATTTCTGGCAAATTTTTTATCAGGTTTTTATTGTACTTTCAAAGTACAACAATTGTTGTACATTGTACAATGGAACCGGCATGACGAGTGCTGGGCAGTCCAGGCCTCGTTGTGGTTTGTACAATTCTCGTTGTACTTTCTACAATCACTGTTGTACTTTTATTGCACAGTTCTTGTTGTACATTTGTTGTACTATTAGCACTTTTTCTTGCGGTGTGTGGTATTCACAGTGTGTCCCTCAGACGTCTCCATCTCATGGCGCAGGTATTTCGAGTCTTACTGCGATCAAGCAGCGTCACGGACTCGTGCAATTAGTGAGTTGCTTGAAAACCTACGGCCGTCGTCACCCTCTGTCGTCCTACGGATGGTGGATACTGCTTTTTCTCACTGTATCAAGGTATACTTGGGTTAAACTTATTATAAATACCCCAAAACGGCTGATTTCATGCCAAAATTTGAATTTACGCGTATTTTAAATAGCTTTGATCTAAAAGCTTTGCCTACCAAGCTTTATCGAAAGCTCAGAATACTTTTGTTAATTCAGATGAAAATGTTGCAACTCTACAACTGAACACAATTCCGCTTGTTAGCCAAAATATCTCAAACCTAACTTTTTGATCTAACAGAAGTAGTGAAATATGTAACTGGTTTGGAAGTCAATGCGGGCTGCCTCTAGAGGTAGACCAATGGGACAAAGGTTAAAACCATCAGGAAACAGAAGTAACAGAATCTGTTTTTGAATTATGTTTATTTTTGGAACTGCCTGAAAAAAAGGAAAAAATTACCAAAATTTTCCTTGTTTTTGAAACTTGGAAATTTAGACTCTGTCAAATTTAATTGGTGAGCCATATACAATAAAACCGTCTCTCGCTTTTTAGAATGGAGTATAAGGATGAACACAAATTTTATCTCACCGCTCTAACTTAAAAGACACCCCGCATCGATACAGTGGCTACGGACTTCTTCGGGATTGCTTAACTTCGACCGGTGTTCGCAAAACGCTTTGCACAAATCGAAAGAGCATGAAATGTAACGTCTCCTGAAATAAGATGCCATTTCCGTACAAAAGTACGGAAGTTTTTACAGTGGACTTGTGAGTGTTTCAGGCTCGAGGTGTGGATTATAGTTGCTGTGACTGACCTGTCCATGCCTGGGACTGTGCGGTCCCCAAGCATGTTGGAGGGAGTCCTCGTGGCGGTCTTCGTGTCCGTTCTGTGGCCTCTCCTCAGCTGCCTCTTGTACCTCGGCGTGGTGTGCCCCGTGGGGATACTCGGAGCCTTGGCGGCTGACTTAAGGTGTGCGCGCACTAGAAGTCATGACTCAATGACTCATGCCATTTTAAGACCATTACGCACGGCGACACGATATGTTGTGTCCACCTACCGACACAAATTCCATTAGAGGAGGCTTTGGATCATTAGAATGGCCAGATCGAAATTTTGTCACCCTTTGTATCATGAGGGGTCGTCTACTCGCACATTACTTGGAACACAATGGCACTCTCAGTCTCGTATTGACTTTTTATCTCTTGCCATAAGTTTTTTGTGCAAATGTAATATGTGCTAGTTTCTCTTACGCTATGCACTATTTTGTTCATTGTATAATGTATTGTATTTAGTCCATTAAACCAGCCTTTTTGTCATTTGCAATGTACTTTTTAATTTTTATATGATCTATTGACACTTTTATCTTTATAACGATCAAAATTGTGCATAGTTAAAGAGAAAATAGAACATTTTACGTTTGCTCAAAAAACGTCATAAGCAAGAGAGAAAAAAGTCCATATAGGTCTGAGAGTGTAGCATATTTCTTGTATATTACTCTTATATTACTACCAAAAATTCGTAAATGTTGTCAAGTACTTAAAGCACATGTATCATGATTAATTAGCTAATGAGGTGATATGGGACGTACATAAGCATTATTTTGTACATACGGCGATATGAGGTGACGACCCCTCGGCTCATAATTGCACATCTCGTAGGGCAAAAAAGGTCACTAAGTGAGGCTTGTCTCGTCTCTCTCCACAGGGAGGAGTCGATAGCAGTAATTCGCCACTGGACTTCGTTCGACCGTCCGAAGGTTGACAAAATGTCAGAGCACGCCGCCCACGCATCGACGCAACGGGGCGTTGACGGTGAGCTGCACCCTGGCAGTGGCGGATCCAGAGGGGGACACTGTAAAAAATTCCGTACTTTTGTACGGAAATGGTACAGAAAAATATAGTACGGAGGTACGGAGAAAAGTACGGAACGTTCCGTACTAGCTCCATATAAACCCATGTAAATGGGTACGGAAAATAGGTACGGAACGTTCCGTAGTTGGGAAGTACGGACGGTCCAGGCAAATTATTGACCAGACATGTTCCGTACTTTTTCCGTACTTTTTTCTCACAGTGGAGAGGAGGTTTACTTTCAGGGGTAAACTGCTCCTTTTTGCCCACCTTTCAACCTTGACCCATTGCGAACAAAATAAAATCAACGGGGCTTCCTGGGTCAAATAGTTGATATAAAGATAGTGCTAAGATTTGCGAAGGGAGTTACCTGCAGGCTGAGATGCATTTCATCTCTCGTATGAATTGATCTGTAAAAAAAAAGTCCGTTGTAAACGGAAACATTCTTTATATCTGTGTACAACCGTCAGTAGAATAGCTACGTACATTCGATTTGTCCTTACAGTACACTAGGAAGCATTTGTTCCATAACTACATAGAAATTGAAGACATTGTAGAATTGCTTCGCATTATGAAGAAATGAAGGATTTTGCTTCATAATACAAAACATTTCTTCGTCGATTTGCCTTTATTTTCTTCGTATTACGAGGCGATTCTTTGAACACTGGAAACCAACGAATGTGACGTTATATTCGTTCGAATGTTAACTTTGTCACGTTCGTTTGAATATGGTGAATTTTGATCAACATTCAAACAAATGTGACACCCTACTTAAACGGCCGAGTCACGTTCGAACGAATGTGACACCATATTCAAACGAACGTGACAAAATTCACACTCCAACGAATATGACGTCACATTCCTAGGCTACCAGTGAAGAGTTTCTCCTCGTGTGCGGTAAAAAGTATAATTGCAAAATGCATAACTGCGGGGTTGTTGCTCGTTGCTCCCCCCCAGCGATGTGGGCGGAGCGGTGGCGCGGCCTGCACGTGCGCCAGCGAGTGCTGCACGACCTGGTGCTGCAGGCCAACGCGCTGCACGGCGTGCACGCCATGTTCATCCTGGTGTGCGAGTCCTTCATGACGTCCATCAGCTTGTCCTACGCGCTCAGCTCCTTCGGCGGGGACTCGCGGCGCACGGCCGCCTTGGCGACGGTCATGGGGTCCACGGGCTTCTTCATCATCGCCCTGCACACGCTCTGCCATCAGTGGGCTGCCATGGAGGTGCTGACGAAGGAACATTTAAAGGCTTTCACTGACAATCTATTGGCGTGACTTCGTGCCGCTGCAGGGGCGTGAATAGGGTACTTTCGTAGATCCCTAAACCGGAAGCACACAGACGCCATGTTGGCGGAAGTGGATCCAAACTTGACATGGGAAAGAGACGTTAGTCAAACGTTACGGCCACACTTGAACATAAACAGTCGTTTGATACTTATTTGCAGTGCATATGTGTTTCGCGAGCAATATTTGTACAGCTCGGCTATAGTTTTAGATCCGAAGAGAGGTTAGTTTCCGGCCAATTTGGCGTCTGCTGGTCTGCTTGCTTCCGGTTCAGGATCTACGAAAGTACCCTATCAAGTGTCACGCCATTAAACGGCATGACAGAAAAGTCACGCCAAAAATCGGCGTGACTCTGAAATTCACGCCAGTTTTTGGCGTGAATTTTTTGTCATGCCGCTGGTTGGCGTGACTTGACTCATAAAATGCGTTGTCATTCACGCCAAATGAGGGTGTGATTCACATGTCACGCCGTTTTTCGGCGTAAGTTTCGTGTCACGCCAATTTTTGGCGTGACTTTTCGTCACGCCATAATTTGGGTATGTGTCCGACCATTACGTTTTCAGTGAAGAAGTCCGATCGTGGTCCCGACCGATGATGATTTCCTGCTTTTTTTCTGATCTTCCCGCAGTTCTCGTCGCTAGGCAAAGCACTTCAAGGTCACAATGTGCTTCACGGCAAAAGATCCTTACCGCTTTCAGAAAAAGAGGTGAGAAGCTGCTTTCGTCAGATGATAAGGATGAGTGAATACCAGGTTGCATTCTAATAAGGGTCAGTTGGGGTAATTATGGGACAAGGGGTAAAAATGGGACAGCTGATTCTTAGTCAAGATTTGAGATTTTTGAACGCATGATATACCAAATGTGATGTTTTTATTGACAATAACATTTGTTACGGCTTGACTTCTAAAATCTCGATTCTCGACTAAGAATCAGCTGTCCCATTTTAACCTCGTATCCCATAATTACCCCAACTGAACCTAGGCCACTTTGCACCCTACAGGTCAGTCTTTGGATTCGAGACATCGAAGTCCAGGAAGGGCGCTGCGATATAATCGGTCTCTTTTATCTGGACGGTGATTTTACTTTAGGGGTGAGTCTGCCTGACTTGGATATCAATAGAAAGCATGTTACTAAAACTGGCGGGCGAAGGCTAGACCACGTCTTGCACATTGTAAAAAAATACGTACTTTTGCACGGTAAATGTACAGATGAGAGGGAAATGTGGAAAGAGGGTGGAACGTCCGTACCTGTCCCATTTGCAGTCCAGGCAGTTATTCGACTTAAGTACCTACTCGATCGCTGTCGCGTGACAGCGATAGTGAGAGCAGTTCGTTCGCTGCCACTAGCCCCGGCAGGCTGGCGGCAGATGGACGCCGAACAGACGAGCTGTCACCTACCACCTACCAGCCGGTGAACGCGTCGCCATGGCAAGGGGGCGGGGCGGTAGTGTGACCCACCAACCGTGTCGCTTATACACTCTCAGACTGTAATTGACTTTTTGTCCTTTGTTAAAGAGTATTTTACACAGCAATAAAAAGTACTATTTCGTCAATATCTATGTAAGATTTCGTTTGTTATATTGACTTAAAGTCAATTTGCTATTGACAAAGAGTCAATACGCAATTGACTTAAAAAATAGTCATTAATTGATGACAATTTTCTGTATAGTGAACAATATTGTACATGGTTACAAAGGAAATACTGCATATTATTGCTGCTTAAAAAACTACGTAAGCAAAGGACAAAAAGTCAATAATGAAGAGAAAAAAGTCAATACGAGTCTGAGAGTGTAGTGCTCAATTTTGGTGTTCGCCGGGCTAAGGAAGACTCAGGGAGCTGTCACGTTATGTACTTCACACTGTGCGAAAAAAACACAGTAAATCCCGTTAATTTTTTTGCCGGGATTTACTGTAGTTCAGGACACAGTATTTACTGTGCCTGGTTACAGCATTTACTGTACCTGGTACAGGATATTCCGTACTCCACTCCTGTGCTAACAGTAAATCCCGTACAAAGTACAGTAGATCCTGTAAAAAAAGTACAGTAAATCCTGTACTCTGAAGTACAGTGACAGCTGTACTAATCACTACAGGATTTACTGTGATGTTTTCCCACAGTGCAAGATGTTTGAGATGAGCTAGGCCTCCTGATGTTACTGAATCTGAGAAAGCAAGTGTGTTAAGGGGGCAGTCTCGTCCCTGTACCCCTTTTTAGGGGGTTTTCCCCCCTCTTTTGATGACGATGATTTTTTAAATATACCTCTTAGAGACAAACGGTAAAAACCAAATGAAAGAACGGAATTTTTGCAACATTTAAAAAAAAATATTTTGTTTTGTCTTCAGTTGTAAGGGAGTTATAGGGAATGCAACAAAAGCCGACAAAACATACAAAATTTCACTGCGCCACATTTTTCTCCGGAAGTTCTTAACTTTTTGGCAATCGGTTTGCGGCATCTTGAAGATGAAAAAATCCTCTTTACTTTAACCTACGATCGTCCAAGTAGCCCAAGGAAAACCTAAATTAAAACCGTTCCTTAGTTTGTATAGGTTTTTGGTTACGTTTTAAAAGGTGTAATCCTTGGGCTATATGATCCAGGAAGCGGAAGAAGGGGATAACTCAATTTTGGCCATTTTTCAGGAGAAACAAAAAACTGTTAGCAGGGAAAACTAAAACAAAACAAATGAATGTTGCAAATGTTAATAATTTCAAAAAGCATTAGTAAAATTTTGGAAAAAAATCAAAAGTGTAAGGTCACTCCGTAGAGGATTTCTGCGACTTATCACTTTCCGTTGAAATGGAAAACAGAGTCAGCTCACCTTATATTTCCTAAACAAAGTGGAATTTGGAGACAAGTCAAGTGGAACAATAGTCTACATAAAGTGTATGTTACTCTGGTGTATTTTTTGGACTTAGCTCTTTTTTCCAAATTGAAATTTAAAATTAAGGGGGGGTTAAGTTGAGTTGATTCTTTTTACACTAGATTCATAAAAACACAAGTTGAGTTATATCCTTTTGCCAATTTGTCAAACGGACTCATGTAGACTAAGGTTGAGTTATCTCCATTTTCCAATGAAATTTAGACTGTAAAAGGGGTTAAGTTGAGTTATACCCTTTTTCCATGTGGATTTTCTCCTAAACTGCTTGGAATTCAGTCAAATAATTTGGTGTAATGATGTAAACCATTCTAAGGCACAATAATAAAATAAAAACTCAATTTGGGGATAAGTCAAGTTATTCCCTTCTTCCGCTTCCTGGATCATATGGACGATTGTAGGTTAAAGTAAAGAGGATTTTTTCATCTTCAAGATGCCGCAAACCGATTGCCAAAAAGTTAAGAACTTCCGGAGAAAATTGTCGCGCAGTGAAATTTTGTATGTTTTGTCGGCTTTTGTTGCATTTCCTATAACTCCCTTACAACTAAAGACAAAACAAAATATTTTTTTTTGAAAATGTTGTAAAAATTCTGTTCTGGGGCATTCCAGACCCAATTAGCAGGCCGCGTAGGTGACCACTGCCGATTTCGTTCCTTTTGTGGTCAAATGTTACCTACCACTAGAGTAAGATGACCCTAAATTTTTAAGGTCGAAATATGAATACTTCAGGAGATATCGCAATTTGAAATTTTCTCTGAAATTTCTTTTAGTGGTTTTGAACAAAGTGTCAACTTTTGCGCGAATCCCTCCTGCTTCTTAAATTTTCGACTCAGAAGGTCGAGATCACTGCTCCTTACGTAAAATTCATCAAGGAATCAGAATCCGTCGCCAAAAAGCACCTACGATCGAGTTTAGGGGTCAAAAAGTGGCCTCAAACACAAAATTTTGTTATTTTTGTGCCTAATTTCAAGGCAAAAATGTAAAGGGAAGCGGGTCTAAACATAAACTTCCCAATAGTGGAAAATGTTCCTTTAGACTCCCTCTAAACAGCTGCGGCTCGAAAAAGATGGTTATAGGTCAGGATCAGGCAACACAGCCTGAAAATTAGAGAGCGAATTTCAGTGAATTTAATAAATTATGTTAGCAGTAGGGTGCGTCGATATAGACGACTTTTTGACTACGACTCTTGGTAAGCGCTCTATGTTGATGATTTTTTGGTGCTGATTCCAAAACTGACCTCGGTACTACGATAGGACAACTTCTCCATGTCCCTATAGGGTGTTAAGTGCCAAAAAACGCAGAGTTTCAAGAGTTTTTCTTGGTTTTTGGTCCCGCACACCATCCCAAACTGTCGGGGCGACTGTTGCATGGTCTGTTGGACATCACGTCCACAAAAGACAACTCTTGCAGTGTGGCTGGGCTATCGGACACCTTCCATGTAAGTTCCAGACGTCAATTTTTATGCTATTCTAACTAATTTCTTCGTTATTCTGCCGTAGCTTCACTGTATTTTGACAGAGGTGTTATGTAACCAAATAAAGCAATTTGGCACTGCGACCTTGAGACTCGTGTCAATAGAGCATTCTAGTCGTCCACGATCGAAGAAGTAGAAGAAGAACAAATCTGGAACTCGCGTCGGCAACAAACTTTGCAGACTCCTGCTATTGGACTGGATTTAGAGATGTCCGAGGCGTATATTCTCCAATGCACTTTCGTCTGTTTCAAATACTTTTTAACCCAGGAATTGAGGATATTTGTGGATATTTCTCCTTGAAACCGGGCTCGCCTTGTACTTTCTTCCTTCCCGCCTTCCGGTTTTGTTCTTCTTTTCGTTTTTCAATCGCCAACGACTAGAATGCTGAATTTAAAAGTAAAAGGGAGTTTCTTAAAGGAGTAGAAACACCTTTCCAAGCTAACGTAAGACCTGCAGGCCCAATGCAGGCCCATACAGTTATCACCTGGCGCGCAGCAAGAGCGGCTGGAGCCTTTCGGGGAATTTCTGGCACTGTAATTCAAAGGGTGAGACATCGCACCAATTTTTGGCGGAACAAAATGTATCACCGAAAAAGGGTGATTGGCTGAGCGATAGCGAAGCCTGTTACTCCAGTGGGGTTGAAAAGTTTTGTCTGCTGACTGTCTGTCGGTCTGTCTGTCGGTCTGTCTGTCGGTCTGTCTGTCCGCACTACTCCTCCTGAACGGCTCGGCCGATCTCGGTGAGATTTTGCACACTTCTTGGGTATGTCCTTGGCTCGGCACACGCGAAATTTCACCATCCTAGCTCAACTGGTTCAGTTTTTATAGGCGAAAAACACCTAAAAAACGGCGAAAAATAGAGTTTTCTGCAGATAGACCACTTCTGTCTTGGAGAAAGGGGGGTCTGGGGGGCGGAGCCCCCCCGCCTCGACAAGTTAAAAAGTGACAAGGGTCAAAATCGTGTTATCTGTAGATAAAACAACTCCATTTAGAATGTAGGGGGGTCTGGGGGGGGGAGCCCCCCCGCATTCAACAAGTTAAAAAACAAGGTAGGTTTACGCCAGACCGCGTCTTGTCGTAACAGGCTTCGCGATGTCTCGCTGCCTGTTCCTCCAATCCACGCCTGGCGTACCTACCTTGGCCTGCGGCGCTAGCCTGCCTGCGGCAGGCAATGGCTTGTCCGTTGTTGGTTATTTTTTAACTTGTTGAATGCTGGGGGGCTCCGCCCCCCAGAGCCCCCTACATTCTAAATAGAGTTGTTTTATCTACAGATAACACGATCTCGACCCTTGTCACTTTTTAACTTGTCGAGGCTGGGAGGCTCCGCCCCCCAGACCCCCCTTTCTCCAAGACAGAAGTGGTCTATCTGCAGAAATCTCTAGTTTTCGCCGTTTTTTAGGTGTTTTTCGCCTATAAAAACTGAACCAGTTGAGCTAGGATGGTGAAATTTCGCGTGTGCCGAGCCAAGGACATACCTAAGAAGTGTGCAAAATCTCACCGAGATCGGCCGAGCCGTTCAGGAGGAGTAGTGCGGACAGACAGACCGACAGACAGACAGACAGACAGACCGACAGACAGACAAAACTTTTCAACCCCACTGGAGTAACAGGCTTCGCTATCGCTCAGCCAATAACCGACAACGGACAAGCCATTGCCTGCCGAAGGCAGGCTAGCGCCGCAGGCCAAGGTAGGTACGCCAGGCGTGGATTGGAGGAACAGGCAGCGAGACATCGCGAAGCCTGTTACGACAAGACGCGGTCTGGCGTAAACCTACCTTGTACTAAAATGTATCACCGAAAAAATGGTCGTACACGCATGTATCACCGAAAAAAAGGTCGTACACAAATTTATCACCGAAAAAAAGGTGAGAAAAGGCGAGTTGGCCCTTGTTTTCCTGGGGAAGTATCAACCTTTTTTCGGTGATAGATTTGTGTACGACCTTTTTTTTCGGTAATACATGCGTGTACGCGATCATTTCTTCGTTGATACATTTAAGTTTCACCCTTTTCCGGGCCGAGACAGTTATGTCTCACCCCTCAGAGAGTGAGATGTATCACTATTTGATTTTCAGTGTGCTGACCCCCCCCCCCGCTAAAATACTTTGTCATTTAAAAACAGGCAAATTAACGAAGACATTAGTAAGAATAGCATAAAAATTGACGTCTGGAACTCACATGGAAGGTGTCCGATAGCCCAGCCACACTGCAAGAGTTGTCTTTTGTGGACGTGATGTCCAACGGACCATGCAACAGTCGCCCCGACAGTTTGGGATGGTGTGCGGGACCAAAAACCAAGAAAAACTCTTGAAACTCTGCGTTTTTTGGCACTTAACACCCTATAGGGACATGGAGAAGTTGTCCTATCGTAGTACCGAGTTCAGTTTTGGAATCAGCACCAAAAAATCATCAACATAGAGCGCTTACCAAGAGTCGTAGTCAAAAAGTCGTCTATATCGACGCACCCTACTGCTAACATAATTTATTAAATTCACTGAAATTCGCTCTCTAATTTTCAGGCTGTGTTGCCTGATCCCGACCTATAACCATCTTTTTCGAGCCGCAGCTGTTTAGAGGGAGTCTAAAGGAACATTTTCCACTATTGGGAAGTTTATGTTTAGACCCGCTTCCCTTTACATTTTTGCCTTGAAATTAGGCACAAAAATAACAAAATTTTGTGTTTGAGGCCACTTTTTGACCCCTAAACTCGATCGTAGGTGCTTTTTGGCGACGGATTCTGATTCCTTGATGAATTTTACGTAAGGAGCAGTGATCTCGACCTTCTGAGTCGAAAATTTAAGAAGCAGGAGGGATTCGCGCAAAAGTTGACACTTTGTTCAGAACCACTAAAAGAAATTTCAGAGAAAATTTCAAATTGCGATATCTCCTGAAGTATTCATATTTCGACCTTAAAAATTTAGGGCCATCTTACTCTAGTGGTAGGTAACATTTGACCACAAAAGGAACGAAGTCGGCAGTGGTCACCTACGCAGCCTGCTAATTGGGTCTGGAATGCCCCTTCTTTCATTTGGTTTTTACTGTTTGTCTCTAAGAGGTATATTTAAAATATCATCGTCATCAAAAGAGGGAGGGAAAACCCCCCTAAAAAAGGGTACAGGGACGAGACTGCCCCCTTAAATATTCTTTTGGGTTACAGCTCTTCTCGGGGATTGCATCCTACCTTGTTGTCTGCTTCCAATTTAACATCGGTCCTATATGAACGAAGATGGGAGTTGCTGAGGAAGCATCTTTACGCTGCATACAGAATAGAAATGATGCAAGATTTCCCAAGAACTTTGGATCTCTCACTGTACACTGCAAGAAAAAACTATGGGACATCCTGTTCATATCTTCACAACGTCGCTCCGTGCCGATTCCAAGGAGATCTCAGTCATTTAAAAGACCGACATCGTCCATTGCTTTTGTTTGTACGGAAATCTGCGTCTATAAAGACGGAGATCCTCTGTTGTTTTTCGTTCGGTGTCCGAGCGGCCAACGCCGCTCATAGGGGCGGCATGGTCCAAACCTCTTAAGTCCGCGAGGACGCACTGTAAAAAAAGTATTACTGAAATTTCATAATTTTAGTCTGAAGTTTTTAAACAGACTAGTGGTCTGAAAATTCAGAGTAATTATTCAGACCATTCTGTCTGAATTCCAAATTCAGACTACTTGTCTGAAAAACATTTTCAGACTGCTACTCTGAAATATTAAATAAAAGTGCCATATTTTAATCAAAGAGAAAGAAATCAACAAGAGAACGATATGAACCACCAACGTGTGACGGTACCTCCTTTCCACTTTTCACTTGTTCGCTTCGGCCCGGGTTCGAACCGGGACTTTTTGGATACGAGACGAGCTCGGTACCACTGCGCTACGGGCGCTGCCTGGCGGCGGGGGAAGCCGTGCCGCGTGACTCATTTCAGAGGATACCAGCTCCTTTCGGCAAGTCCAGAATGCAAGTTTGGTTAATCCACTGTACACAGACGAATCTGCGTGAAGCACGGGTGTACATTATTATTTCCGATTAAATTTATACAGCGCCTTACGCCTAGACTTCATTAGTAGACAATCTGTCAAAATTTTCATACCAAAATTATGAAAACAGCTTTCAGGATGACAAGTCTGAAAACTTTATCAGAATTTTCAGACCTTCTGCTAAAAATTCAGACTAACCGTTGTGATCTCAAATTTCAGAGTTCCTAGTCTGAAAATTCAAAGCAACTATCTGAATTACCGATTCAGACTGCAAAGTCTGAACAAATTGTACTGAAATTTCAGAAATTTTTTTACAGTGCGTTGATGGGCACCTCTCAGGGTCCCCGATGAAGATGCTAGCATTTTGGACCTGGGTTCCGTGGGTGTACGAGTGAAACGTGGGTGAAAACGGTGGGTTGTAACAATTCATGTAATTCCCGTATGTCCCTCTCACCCCTCTCCCATAATGTCTTAAAAGTCATCACCTCGCCCACTGTCATTCCGGGATTCAATTGATGCACTTTTGTTATTATTGATTCATTATCTGAGTTTCTTCGGCGCCTACGCACGGAATCACCCAGGCGAGGGGGAAATCACTCGCGTAATAGTCGGGTCACCCATTCCTACTATTACGCGTAATAGTAATAGCGTAATAGCCAAGTTTTTAAAAAATTTCCCTATTTAGAGTCTGATTTTAGCCTAAATCTGGATATTTTCGAGCGTAATAAGCCTTCTGTAATAGCGTAATAGAACGTAATAGGGAGTAGTCGGGTCACAGTTTTTAAGAGTGATTTCCCCCTCGCACCCAGGCGATTGTGCCAAGTAACATGAAATTGTGAAAAGGAAAACTTTTTTTCTTTAACAGAGACCAATACAACACAGGCTTACTTGACACATACATACAACATAGAGCAAGGGAACAGAGAGGAAAACAGGAATTACATGGCATTATTATTGTTTATTGATTACACTGTGGGAAAAAAGTACGGAACATGTCTGGTCAATAATTTCCCTGGACCGTCCGTACTTGCCAACTGCGGAACGTTCCGTACTTTTTTTCCGTACCCATTTACATGGGTTCATATGGACCGTACTGTATTTTTCTGTACTATTTCCGTACAAAAGTGCGGAATTTTTTTACAGTGTTACACCTTCGGAATGACTTCGCAGTCCACGTCGATGCATAATCTCGTTATGTTGCTTGTCTCGCTGTCTCGACTTGTTCCTCGAAAACGGTACCGTCCGTAAGGCATGATGGGGAAGTTAGGAAAGGTCCAGGAGATGGGTTCATCCTTGACCACGAAAAATCCCTGAGGGAAAGAAAGGGTTGGTTAACCTTGTCGAGAAGTTTGCTGCGTGCAGTGTTGCGTGAGGTGTTGCTGCGTGAGGTTGCGAGGAACACTGCCTTCAGCGAGACCTGTCTTTCACGCCCTTGCTTGGGCAAAAAAAAAAGGTTTTCCTGTGACATGATCATTTCCCTCACGCGCAGACAAGCAAATATCCATTTTCCCCGTCTTTTCTTTTCAGTCCGTTGCTCCACGAGGATCACTCACGCACTCTGCAAACCCAACAGTGTGCTCAGCACACTCTGTTCAGCGTGTACTCACTAGCACACTCCGATGAAAGTGTACTCAGATGAGTACACTCCGACAAGAGTGTACTTCGATGAGTACACTCTAACGAGAGAGTGCTCAGATTCCTGGAAATAAATGCAGTTGAGTATACGCTCGAGGGAGTGAGCTCGTGAACACACTGTTAAAAATTGTTGTTTTAAAACAACAACACAATTACCAACCTCGACAACGCTGTTGTTTGTGAACAAGTTTGCTTGTTTTAAAACGACAATTTCGTTGCTAATTATTTTTATGACTTATGCTGTTTCAAAACAATATTTTGCTGCGTACAAACAACCCGGACAATCTGAGAAGTGGTTACTGCGGGGTAACTGGGACTCTACTAGGTCTGTGACCTATTCGGCAATAAAAATTGATGCGAATAAGGCTGTCTACCGGTTTACAAACATCTTGTGGACGAACGACGCAACTCGTTAGTAAACAACGAAAGTCATTTGAAAACAACTTTGACCGCTAAGAAAATTAGCAACATATTTACTGCTAAATTACAACATAATTTATAACAGTGCATACGCTGAAGAAAGTGTACTCGTGAGTACACGCTAAAGACAGTGTACTGAGTGCACTGTTGAGTTTGCAGAGCAGTAGCTTACCGGCGGTATGACACAGGGCGCGTTCTTGTCGGCCGAAGCCCCGGTGTATTTCACCACGAGGTTAAACAGCTCCGGCGAATGCAGGCGGATCGCAGTGCACCCTTGCCTGCTGAATTTGTTTACAAAGAAATTCTCTTTCCATTCGTTATTGGCTCGGACCGCCAAGTTAACGGTTGACTGCAAAAGGGTAAGGGTTGATGTTGGTGACATACCGTACACTGTTAAAAAAAATCTTAAAATTCAGACCAATTTTGTAAGACCTGGTGGTCTGATTTCTTAATTAAGACCAGAAGTATTCAAAAGAAGAATCCTCGGATGAATTTTAAGACTTTCGCAGTCTTAAAAGCAAATTCAGACCATCCAGACAGAAAGTCTGACAGGGGTGACTGAAAATTCAGTCTAAGTACAAGACCATGTAGTCTGAATCGCCTTTTCAGACTATTCTCCTGAAAAGGAAGACCGATTGATCTTAAATTTCAAACTGGTTGTGTATTTTCAGACCATGGGTCTGAAACGGGAGACGTATTGTTCTGAAATGTCAGACTGGTTGCCTCATTTGACCAAATTTAACCGCAATATATGAGCGCTCGACACAGAATCTTAAATATTCACGAACAGCCCAAATTGTCCGCAGTTTAACTACAGTCAAACTCCTCGTTTTGTCCCTCCACCCGGGAGTTGCTTTGGACAAAACGAAGGACCGAGCCCGGCTGGCCGATGCGGATTAGGCCGCCGTAATCCCTACCTTGGCCGGCCAGCGACGGCAGGCATCGGCCGGCGGGACGCGACCCGGGCCACGGTGGTGGGGATGACTCTGGGACAAAACGAAGGACCCAGAAGAGGGACAAAACGAGGAGTTTGACTGTACCGCAACACGCGCTTGGTTTGTTTATTTGTGGCCTCCCAGCGTCCAGCGAGCGCGCTTGGAGTCATCGGCATCCTGCAGCCGTACTCTCAGAGCGGTCCCGTGGTGTAATGGATAGCCCGCAAAGCCGACGAGCGAGGATTCGATGGTTCGAATACCAAGATATTCGGAGTTTCCGAGTAAAGAGAACGGCCGATAAGTTACGCGCAAGTTCTATCAAAGACATCTCTCGCAAAGGAGTGAAGGTTCAACGTTACAATTTTGTGCTATTGTCTGAATTTTCTTCAGACTGGCCGTGTCTAATAATTCAGACCACCTAAATCTTAATTTTCAGACCACCCAATTCTAAACTTTGAGACCACCCTATTCTAAATTTTCAGACCGCCGAAATGGTCTGAAATTTCAGAACCCCTTACTGTTAATTGACTTCAGTCAAATTTTGTCTGAAATTTCAGAATTTTTTTTTTTACAGTGTAACAGCGTCGTAACTATGCATTCTTAACGGGAAAGATGCGGAATAATTTTGTCTTCGCCTTACCCAAAAATTGTCGGTTACAGGTTTTTTTACAGTTGCATTCCCTGTTACTCTCTGCCTTTCATTTGGTCTTGCACGGTTGAAGTGGGTGGGCCGAAATTGAAGCACAAAAGTCCCGTCGGACGGACACGCATCAATCGTGTGGACGAACGCGGTGTACGGGCCCTGTGTGTCACGAAAAAATTAATTTGGTCAGGCTGGCTTATTTCGGAAGCTAAAGGGGCATCCTCGGTGCTTTGTTAAAAAAGTTGTAATTTAACAACACTTTGGTTGTGAAGTTTGATAGCAGCACATCTAGTTATTATTACAAACACGTTGTAGCCCTCGGTGCTGCACGTTTTCTGGTGAATCGATTGAAGTACGACAAGACTTCCGTCAAGTCTTCGATTTTTTTAAACCACATTTTTGTTGGTCACAGTGTGTTGTAATTTAACAAGACTATTGTAATCTGTCAACAAAATTTGTTTTAACATTGCACGCGCAATCTTTAAACAAAAGTTGTTCTCAGATTACAAATGATCTTGTGAAACGACAACACAACTCTTTTTAATTACGATGATATTATTGTTACCTGACAAGATACCCTAGTTGTAATGAATAGTTGTAATAAATAGTTGTCAAGTGGTAGATTTGCCGTTCCGATACATAAGAAAAAACTGTTGTAATGTTACAATGGATTATTAGCAGTGTGGTTTTTTTGAAAGAAGCTGAGTTTCCTGGGTTTTCCCCTATGGGTGTTTCGTCTCTACACTGAGAAAACCTTACAAACTATTTTGGCCCTTACAAAGAAAAGTAGTTTGTATAACAAAGTATTTTGAGCTTGCATAAGCTTGCAAAGAAAATACTTCGTAATTTGCAAACTATTTCTCCGTATAACAAAGTATTTTAGTTTGTTACACGTATGCTCAAAATACTTCGTAAGGTTTTAAGAGTGTGGTCAGGACAAGGCGTAGCATATCGCGAAGCTTGCTGCCAATCAGTGGGCTCGCGTGCCTTGCATACTTACTGCAAACGAAGGGATGAACTTGCTGCTGACAAGATCTAAGGCCGGTAGGAGAATGGCCAACCAGTCCAATTTCATGGTGGATCACCTAGCCACTGAGCCTCTTGCGCCTCCACTCACGCGTCAAAGAAGAGCTTGCCTGTAAAACTTCAAAACCATGGGTGAAAGGCTGCACCAACATATTACGGTGGAGATTTTCTCCATAATATCAACGAAATTCGTCAAAATATCTATAAGGTACAGTGAATTCTCTATGGTATGTTATCAAGTCAGCTGCACCTCTCCATAATATAGGGCATTTTCACCATAATACAGAGTTTAGAGTGCAAACCTCTCGTCGTCGTGTGAAGATGTCTCGTCGGAAAGTACGCCGTGCTGATTCGTAAGTGCCAAACCCACAGATGGTACTCGCGTCACTGGGTCCGTGGTGGTTCCCGGCTTTCGTGGAACCATCACCGGGTTTCCTGGGCATGTTTGCCGGCCGTTTCGGCCTGGCAGTGGTCGTCAATGGAGGGGCCATTCAAAGCTTGTTTGTGCTCAGCGGTGACCATCACGCCACTGAAAGACCTACAGTGTCGCTGCGATTCACGGCGCGATAATGCTCCATGTGTTCAATAGGGGTGGTCGAAAGTACACTTTTTTTCGAAATCTCAAAAGTTAGATAGCGCATTTTGTAGCATTTTTTCTGCTGATTCCGAATATGTACTTGGTTTTGAAAAAGGAGTAAAACCGAGGGCGCTACCAGCCTTTAATGTTTTGAAAAATCCGAATGTTTAGGGCTATTGGGGCCCTTACTTTTTCTTCCTTCTCAAGCTACAGTGCAGCCCGACTGTGCCATTCACTCACTTCTGTTTCGCCGCTGTCCTGCTCCGTCTGCGCCATGGATCCGTCCCTCGATGAAATCGTCTTTGCGGTTCTAGCCTCGTTAGAGGGCCATTCCCTACCTGGTTCCGGTAAGTCCCTCCTCTCCGTCCCTCTCTCCTTCCTGTGCCCCCTACCCACTGACCTGTTTGTTGTGCTCCAGGCCGTCCCTGCCCTCCGGCTTACGCCCTTGGGCCCTGGGGCATTACCATGCCATTGTGGCTGCGACTGCACTGTTAGACTAGGGGTACGCGCCGTTTAGTGTGGGCGCGTAGTGTGGCTGAGCGATGCGAATTTGTGCATTTCGGACTTTGCTTATGTAGACGAAATGTGCAGCTTGTGGGCTCATATTGAGTGAAATGTAGGTCTGGGGTATAAATGGAGGTGATTTTCGTTATCAGCACACAAAAAACTGTTGGAATCAACGTCAAACTCGATTCCAAAATTTTGGTCCGAAATTGGTTTAAAAATTTGGTAATGCGTGAGTCTAGGAAAAAATTTTGGGAAATCATTTTTGAGTTCAGCGCACCAAAAACTGCAGGAAACAATATAAAACTCGATTTGAAAATTTTTGGGCCAAAATGACCTAATTTGGGATGAAAATATAAGTCTGGAGTCAAAATGGAGGTGATTTGCGTTATCAGCACACAAAAAACTGTTGGGATCAACAAAAAACTCAATTCAAGAATTTTGGTCCAAATTTGGTCAAAATTTGGTAAAGCGTTAGTCTGGGAAAAATTTTGAAGTTATTTTTGAGTTCACCTCATCAAACACTGCAGGAAAAATATAAAACTCGACCTGAAAATTTTGGTCCGAAATGACCTTATTTGAGATGAAAAAATAAGTCTGGAGTAGAAATGGAAGTGGTTTTTATAATCAGCACTCCAAAAAACAATATGAGATTCGATTGAAAAAATTGATATCAAATTGATCAATAATGGGTAAAGAATGGGTCTGGGTTGGTCTTCATGGATCACCCTTTGTCGTCACCAAATACCTTGATGCCACACCAATGCGATTCCTTCAGTCGAGTAACATTCCATTGCCAGCATTGAATCGCTTAATTTTCTTTTGTCTGCTTGACTCACTATTGGATACATCATTTTCTTCCAACTAATGAATTCACAAATTTATTAGTTATATTTGAGAAGCCTTTTGTCATTCTTTCATTTTAAACCAGTGAATTAAACAATATAGACTGGAATATGTAATCATAGTTTACATTAAGTGACTCAGTTAAGGGCAGGCTGATCTAAAGCATTCGACGGAGAACAAGTTTTGTCAAATTCAGTGAATCGTCTCATGAAGTCAAATGCAGAGGCCACTTGTTGCTCAATACGCCAACATAATTTACCTTAATCATGCCTCGTGATATTTTATCTTTGGAGTAAAAGAATACAGTATACTATTAACATTGGGCTTACATTCAGAGAACCAGCTTCTAAACCATTACCAATACTTGGTTCCAGTTGTCGGACACAAACTTTGGTGAAGTGAAAGCAAACGTGTCATTAAATCCAATTACCAAGTCACCCACCGCTCAAAACCTGAATCGTGTCATTGAACCCAATATCAATTCAAAATCTATTAGCACTAAATATATGGATTATTTATTGCACTAAATACATCTATTTATGGATTCTTTTAATCAATAGATGTTAGTACTAGAATATTTATGTTAGCTTGCAGCATTGCAAAAGAATGTCATTTCCCCAGACAAACCAAGACAATTAACATGTCTTCTAATTTCAACGCATTTACCTGATTTCATTTACTATGAAAATTTTAAAAAAAAAGGATAGTTTCAAAGAGAATAAAATCAGTAGATGCACACAAAGGCAAAGGAAACATTCTATTTTCAATCCACAACTACACTCACAGTGCACTGACCTAAAGGAAGATTCCCCCGTGACGGGGGAGGGGGGAGAGGGGAACGAAACACGCAAACCATTCTCACATTCAGTTTTCGTATTTTCCTCTGTTGACACTCCGGAAGGGTTTCAATCATTCTAGAATGTTAAAAAACTATCTCAGAACCTATTTGAGAACCCCTTTGCTCTTTAGTTTGTTTATTTGCATAAGTGCCGTCCCGTCTTGCAGAAGGCTTGCAAGCGCGGCAGCCGGTATGAGAAATTGGTCAGCCACACACTGCTACCAACCTAACCACGCTAATTACCTAGTTCAAAACGATGTTTGGAATATTTCAAACGATGATAATTGTTAATCTGAGATAAACTCCCCCTGTAGGATGTTTAGGAGACATCAGGTGTGAAATTTGGATACTATTCGTTCAGTAGTTGCTGAGAAACGTGAGTGATTACATACAGACAGAGAGACGGACAGACAGACTCACGACCAGTCACTTTTTGGAGCGCCCAAACACGGCAAGGGCTTCGCTATCGCTCAGCCAAAAAAAATTTTTGGGGTAAAAAACAAAAGTTCAAAGCATGATTGTTAAAGACGACCCCAAAATTTTCAAAAATTTAAAACAAAAAACCATCATATTACCAAAAAACTTGTTTTAAAAATACAAAATTGTATGGTTACAAAAGAATATGTTCAAAATCAAAACAATAAAAGTATCGTTATCAAACAACAATTTCATCTCAAAACGGCAAAAGTCATTCAAAGATTGTTTGACTTGTAGGATTACGATGATATAATCACATTTGCCATATTGTCAAATATTCCGACAAAAAGTCTGGGAAAGGCACATCTTAATTAGCATGAAAACTTAATGCTATTTTGATAACCTTTCATGATGAACAGCTGTGTTTTTGCTCACAAGTCTGCCTCAAAGGTTAAGGGGAGGTTCTGGTGAAAATCTTGCTATTTTCCAAATGGATCCCATTGTCACAATTTGTCCGGAATATAAAATCTTTCTTCGAGGAGACTAAAATTTGACTTTTGAAGGCACATGCCAGGCTCTGAACCCAGTCGAAGATTCTTTTTGAGCCTATTTTGGCTGTATTTTAAAAAATCTTCTTGCGCATACTATTTTGTCGTAAAAGCTTCCCCTTGACATTTTTCACTTCTTCGATTCATTTTGAAAAAATGCCGGCATGCATAGCTCAAAATTTCCATTACTTTACTATTTGTAAGCTTTTTAAGCTGAAAAGTCCCTAAATTTTGTCTATTTTTTACATTTTTGGTCAATTAGAGTGAAATGCTTGGTTAGAAAGCTTGCGAATAAAAATGCAATTGACATTTTGAGTTCTGCATGCTGGCATCTTTTAAAAACAAATCGAAGAAGTGAAAAATGTCAAGGCCAACCTTTTACGACAAAATAGTGTGTGCAAGAAGATTTTTAAAGTTATAGCCTAAATAGGAGAAAAAGGCTATGCGACTGGGTTCAGCTCACAGAATGTGCCTCCCCATTGAAAAATTTTAATAATTACTTGGTAAGACATCAAATTTTTAACCAGTTTTCACAGTGGGACCTATTTAGGAGAAAATAGCATTTTCACCAGAACCTCCCCTTAACTTGGGAGACATAAAACAGATTTTCAATGTGGTTACCTCACTTTGGCTCATTTGCTATCACTATGAGCCCCTCCTTATGATATTTATTGACAAGTGCTGGAGACTATCAGCTTTGTGCATCTTCTTCCATCCCTGCTGTACATTTAATTGATTTATAAGCTAAGTTTTGAGACTTTTTGCCGGAATATTTGACAATATGGCAAATGTGATTATTTCATCGTAATGCTAGGAGTCAAACAATCTTTGAACGACATTGTCATCATGGAACGACATTGTCATCATGTAACGACATTGTCATCATGTAACGACAATGTCGTTGATTGATGATTTGGATCCAATGACTGTGAAGAGGATATGAGTTCAGCCAATGTCTATGATAAGTTTATCGTTGAACAGCACTTTCATCAGACTACGACATTTTATCTTACGACATCTTTCTCAATTGACAGCAACTTCTGCTATGAAACTTTACGACAAATTTGTCGTAAACCAACAGCAGTTTTTCTAACAGTGTACACACTTTAAAAAAAATTATCATCAATTTTCAGCTCACCCCCACGTTCTTCTCCTTGACCGGGATGCGGACTGGCCCGCGTCCTTGTTCTGCACTGAAAATATATCGGCGTGTGACTTCGTGCCGCTGCAGGGACGTGACCAAAGTGTCACGGCAACAAACGGCATGGCAGAAAAGTCACGCTGAAACTCGGCGTGACTGAAAAGTTCACGCCAATTTTGGGTGTGAATTTCTTGTCATGCCGCTTTCTGGCGTGACTTGTCTCATAAAACGCGTTGTCATTCACGCCAAATGAGGGCAAGACTCACATGTCATGTCGTTTATCGGCGTGAATTTCGTGTCACGCCAATTTTTGGCGTGACTTTTTGACATGCCACAATTTGGCCATGTGTTCGACCATTACGTTTTCAGTGTAGTTGTTCTCCCATTTCGGCCTGCTGAGGAAGTAGCCCTTCTGCTACCCCTTGGGCCTGTACTCCCACCCGACTAGTGCTTCTTACCTTCCTTTTGCAGACTCCCTGAGTGTCGATGAGGTGCTCCTCAATTGGTGCACCGGCCGTATCAAGGAGCCGCGTGTGGG